GGCTTAGTCCTAGGGCTCCAAGCTTCCTCCCAAGGACTTGAAGCAGGCGCCGTTCTCTGATCGTCTGTGCTCTTCGCCATCCGTGGCAGGAACATGGAAGAAAGTTCCAGTAGTCCGTAAACCGTTTTGAAGCCAGCAAGTGGACGCCAGCCTTCAACGCAAAATTATGTCGCCGTGGGGGATCGAACCATTATGGGTATGATTCGTCACTTTTTTGATACTGTTCAGCGAAGCGAAAGACGATTTTGTGGTTCATACGCGTTCCTACAATATGCGAACCGTTCCTGAAAAGCGCGGCTTGCCCTAAAAACCTCCCTTGTCAGTCTATTTTCAAGGTACGTTTACCGCAACTTATCAGGCACGCTTACCACGCGATAGGTCCGGAGATCAAATCCTGGGTCGTGAGCCGCCCGGGTCGACCAAGCCTTCCATCCATCCAGGGTCGGTCAATTGGTACCAGGCTTGTCTGGGAGGATAAAAACACTGACTTGAACATCGGCTGGCCCCGCAATTCATTGTACGGGCCACATCGCATTCAAACGCCGCTACGAATGTACGAATGGAAGTAGAATGCGTGCCGCATCCCAAAAAGGGACTAATCAACGGCAAATGCTTTATCCTTTATCCTTTTTTTTATCAACACCCGTATGTGTAACGTATGAGGCGAAAAGTTTTGCCTATAATCCAGCATTCTTGTGAAACTTTCGTGGCGCAAATGCGGCGTTGAAGCAGCAGGTACCAAACTAAACAAAGTCGACATTAAAGAAGGAATTCACGATTAGAATGAAGGTGGAAGAAAGGGAAACTGACCTAGTTGAGGGACCCACGGACCTCCTGAGGGTGCGAACAGACGCGCAATTCGCATGGAAAAATTTGACTTCGGCGACCTATCATGCTTCAAAGCTGGCGGGTCCGGCGATCTCCGCCCACCGATCATCTGATCACTCGCCGTAGTTCAATACGTGGCGAGAGATTAGATAGCTGAGAGAGCGTAGTGTTGAAGAGGACACAGCGATGAGAATCGCATCAATGCTCGAATCAACGGGCAAGGAAGGGGTACCATTTCCCGGGTTCTGGGCCGTTTCTCATGATTCTTCCTTCTTTCGTGTGCCACTCACCATCCCTAGGTTAATTTGAAATGGGTTGTTTTTTCATCGTGAATTCGTCCTTTAACGAGAGCTCTTAGTAACATCTGTGAGAGCTCTTAGCCTGGAGGTTCACTGCTAGTGTCGGACGTTCATCCCATTTCTCGAGCTGTAATATCATAAATGCGCATCACGTTTATCGCCTGATTATCGCTGTTAACAGGAGACAACGCGGTGTGACACGATTGCTGCTAATTGACGCTAAATTGTGGTCACAGATTTCTCCGCGTGAACGGATGAAGTTTGGAACGTTTATTTTCATAGTGTTCTCCGTCAGGGAGCATTATTCATCCTTTCCGATAAGATTTGTTTTCTTTATGCTGTTGTCCAATACGCGCTCGCATCGAACGCGTTCCTGATGTAGTAGTGTTCTTCAACAACAAGAAGAACATTTCGGCGAAGATTATATAAGGATACAAAAACATGCGCAGAGATTCTCTCAGATATGCTCAAGTTTCCAAAACGAGAGACTTCGCCATCTGGCCGTCGACCAATTCCTTTTTCGTAGAATACCCACTATCCTTCCATTCTGAAGTTGAAGTTTCTTTTGTTTGTACGCTGAATTGCTGGGACCAGTTGTTTTTTGGGTTTGTATGATTCCAGACTAGACTGGGATCACAGAAATGATGTCAGGTTCGGGGGCCAACAGGAGGCCAGTGGCGCGGCGGGAAGGTAGTGACGCAGGCGAGCCAGCGGGTGAGTCGCAGCCAGAGTCAACTGTGCGTTGCCCAGTTCTCAGCGGCCACGTTGCGCAGTTTTGCCCGGTTAGACACGTTCTCTCGCGCGAACATTCACACCCGCATGCTCGAACCGTCTGTGCACTCCGCCCATACAGCATGCGTTGAGGATCTCTCAACGTGCCGCTGAGAACTGCGCAACGCACGGTTGGCTCGGGTCGCAGCAGCTGCACTAATCGCGTCAAGTTAGGTATAATGTACTCCGATACGTCCCACATCGCACATCAGCAGTGTGTCTTTCAAGGGGGGCTTCAGGACGTTGAACGTTTTTTCAAAGTGGTTCTCTGTACATTGTAGAGACTCATACGGAGAAGTCAGAGCCATGGTCCATTTTCCCTGAACGCTCCTAAGAATGTCAAAACAGCGGGAAGAAATGGTCCAAAGTTCGATCTTCCATTTTTTTGAATAAAATTTTTGCAGTTCATTTTGGCGCACGTCAGTGACATGTATTCTCGACGATGGCACCATTTGGCGGCAATCTGGGGGCGCCAGACTATATTGCAAAAATTAGTCATCACCGAAGGTCGCTCTGGACCATTTCTTCAACACTGTTTTGACATTGCTGGAGGTGTTCAGGAAGTATGGATCATGGTTCTCTGTTCCTCGCATGAGCAGCTACAACATGCAGGAAACCATTTCGGAAAAGCGGTCCGTGTCCTGGAGGACCTCCCTTCCTAGCGTTTTCGCCGCGCGACGGGCCCCCTGTTCGATAAAGCAGTATCCATGAGGGTTTCTGCCCTGCCGTACGCGTATTGTGAGCCTTGTTCATAGTCTACGACGTCGGAGAATTGTTGAACAGGTACAGATACGTATGGAATGGGAGAATCGGAGAATCGTAGATCTGAAGGATCCACGACTAGATGCGGTTGGAAATTTTCGGCCCTCATATCGCACCCTCACTTGGGACGTATCGTTGTGGGGGTATCGCACGGTTATGAAAAGGCGTAGTTAGAGAATTTTGATCAGGAAAGGTAGTGTCGATATTTGGTGTGACGATTGCATATGTTACCGAATATTCAAAAATATTAGAAGAACACAACATCACTATTCTAGTTGCTGTTGATGCTCCCCCTCCCCCCGTCTCTAAATTGACTATTCAAAGTAGACTAGCAACTTTCCGTTTGATTTACCTGGTTTCCCAGTAATTTTACAAAATTATTATTTGGGGAACACAAGTGAATTAAAAATAAGCAAGCATATAGACAATTCAAGGTGTGTTCATATTTCTTATTCGAAAAAAACCCCATGAACATGCTCTTATTAAAAACCAGCTTGACTTTGCAGTATCATTTGATGAGGGATCGAGAGTTAATGAATTCGCTTCAATTTTTTGTCCGATTTTTTTTCAGCGGCCTTCTATAGACCGCAGTAGCCTTCAATTTCAGTTCCGATCCATTCCCCACGTGAAAAACCAGCCCTATCGTTTTCGTATTCGGCACTCAATTATACCTCATCGTCATGAGCTGCCGCCTTTCATTTTCGTCGACCTCGGAAAACCCTCATAAAGAAATTTTTAGTGGAATCCATTTGTACTTTCGGCAAGTAAATTCATCAGCGATGATTATAGTTAAAATGTCTTTTTACCTCAAGCTATTTGTGCTCTTTCACAAGTCATGTGAGAGCTCAAATCATTACGTAGTTATAGTTGCGTTTTTGTCTTAGAAAGTGGTCCCAAATTGCACACAAAATTGCTAGATGGCTGAATATTTGGCACGCATTTTTCAGACAAAGTTTGGGAATTTGCGGTTGAAATTAGGCCTTTCCCCGAGAAGGCTGCAGTGGTACGCAACAAGGGCGCATGCATATATACAGCTTTTGTGATGATTTGAAAGGCCGAGGCGCTAACCATAAGGCTCCAGGATTCAGTATTGGCCCCACTCAACACCGTTAAAGGAATATTGCTCGGAAAAATCATGATCCCAAGAACTGAAGTATTGCTTTCGTTTTGATTAGAAATTCGAAAACTCGAAAAGGCTGTTACGCGTTCGAATAGCCCACGGACGTCTTTCACGAATGCTGGCGATGGGGATGCTCAATCTTGGTTCCTGGAGTGCGTTCACTAGAAGCTCTTTCTGGCCTTCTGCTTCGTTGTTCACATATTACACTTATACTCCATCCTATTTCATCGATCGGTTTGTTTCCACTCTCCAAAATCGCGCGCTTTAACCCGATTCTCTCATTGCGTCGATTGGTACGTAGCCGGCTAAACGCCGTCTTCTTTCCATACCTCGCCTGGCTCTGTCTCCTGGTCCTTCGATAGTCCATAACGTGTAGTTTTTGTACGTTTGTTTCTCTTCAGAAAACGAATCTTCATGAGTGAAACTTTGCGTGCTATTTCCAGTGATCACAACTGACATATTCATGTTAAGAAAGAGTGCAAGAACTTTCCGCGCAAGATTCCTTTAAGCCTGCCCACAAATCAGTACTATTTCGCCTCGAGTCAGGAGTTTTAATTTCATCTTTGTCGACGGTTTCTTCCCACTTTTCATTACTGGCGTTACACTTCACAGCTCCACTGTCACTTGCGAGCGCAATAATACGTCAGAACTTATCCGAACTAAACCCGATTTTAGCCTCTAAATGGTGAGAGGACGGCGGTTCTTAAAGGAGATTTTTCTAAAGTTGGAATCTGTGTCACATGTTCAGATGAAATTCTCAACACAGTTTGCTATCCCCGGCCCTTTGGGTCGCAAGTGAACTCGTGCTTATTTACTTGTTTACTCCTCATATTTCATCGAGCGGTGCATTTCAAAGAGCGACTCTTTCGAATCTACGAACCAATTTCGATGAGAAAAGCCTGAGAGGTCTCTGGGTCAATACACGATGCATTTGAGGGCCAGAAATTTCTGACAAGCAAGCGTTATCGTAAGGAACTGACAAGATTACATAGTTACGTGGATAAAACGTATGCTCGGGATGTTAGCCCTTCCTTTTTTTTCCTTCTACGAAATGATCAGTTGCTCTCTGCCGTTCTTCATTGTACGATAACAGCGATATTCTATCTGATTTATTCATATATTTTTATCAGAACCTTCTGCTTCTGCTTCATACATTCGACAGCGCCCAACACTCGGTGGACGGCGTGCGGGCTTACCACCCAGTACGAAGTAGCTGGAAAATGAGTGAGTCGTTGATATACCTTTGATATGATTACTTTTTTAATTCGAAATCTTCGGTACATATTTCTCTTTAAGATAAAAGTAATCAAAATTCAATTTGGTACACATAAGGGTGCTCGAATATGAATCGTGCCAATGTTTGGTCCATTAATGTTCTGAAGAAGCACCCAGGATGAGTTTAGGTGGATGAAATCTTTAGTAGGGACGGTAGTAAAGTGCCATAGACTGGGAGTTAAAGTTGGTGAACTACGGCCGTAAGCGGTGAATAATAAAAGAGACAGCCAGATGACCCCGCTTTGAATGGCAAACTCCACTACATTCCTAGCAGAAGTCGCGTCGCCATGGACTTGAACCATGTAATGCATCTCCCATGAGCGCGACGTTTGCCACTGCACCACAAAGCATTGCTGGGTTTCTTTGAAAGAATTGTAGAAAGCAAGGTAGTAACCTATGAGGGTTGCAAAGCATATAGGATCATGGAGGATTGATCCCGCGAGCAATCCAACGTCAACAAGGAACAACCCCATTGCGCCAATCGACGTTTTGAAACGTGGGATCATGGCCTAGATGATTGTACAGGGGTGAAATGCTCCCACGATCAAAGAAGGAGTTATAACTCTATCAATAAGAGGAACACTGCAGGGTACAGCTGATCACCTTATGAAAGTTAACAATATTATCGATAGCTCTAGTGGCTTCCTTGCTGCCCACACTCAACACCTTTCACAAACCCCTTTCTTCAGTGCGCTCTGCACATGGCAGGGACGCAGAGATGTTTAGCGCGACCAATGCATGAGGTGCAGAGAAAGGGGAAAGCGTATGAGGACTGAAGAGACGCAGATAGACGGCGACTAAAATGTACTCAGGGGTACATTTCAGTCGCTCTCTACATGACTTTCTGCGTCTCTGCAATCTCCATGCACTTCTCCTTTCTCTACCAGGTTCGCCGTCTAGGCAAAATGCCACCTTATACATTGGCCACTTAAGATGTTGCCTAGACCTCGCCCATTGCAGCAGGTCGGCGCGAGTTTCCCGCCTTTCCCAATGCTTTTTAGGTGCGGACGAAGGCAACGTCAACGCGACCTAGTGGCCAACTATAAACTAGCCGTTTAGGAGACTTTACTACCGTCCTAGGGGATACTTTAGAACTTTCATGAAGGTCGCAGATGTCCCATTCCCCTAACTCTAAAGAGCACAACAGGGGCCAGCAAGGAGTACTTCGACGCAGTACATTCCCATTTTTCTCGTCCGTAGGATGGGGTGTCTAAAGCTATCTCATCAGTTGTGCTCTCTCGCCTGCCCTCTCTTCTCTGCGCTCAGTCCCTCATTGCCTTAGCGAATTACTAACTGATTTAGCCTTTGATTTGGCGTTTTCTTCGCATTACTTTTCTTTTTTTCTACTGCCGGCCCTCTTCGATCCAATGCTTCCATTTCGCACAGACCACACTAGTTTAATACTGGGGCGTGGCTTATCACAACACATAAATAGCTGCGGATAATGAATATTAGGCAATGAGGAGGAAAGAGAAGCTTGATATTGACGAAACACATCCAATTTAGGAGCCGAAGTTCCACCGCCAAAACTCCACCCAGAGCTCGTTGAATCTCTTCGCGTTCTTTTCGACATCCTGGATACGTCACGTACTGGACGAGTGCGATACGAAACGGTAAACCTTCAAAACTTGTCGTCTGAGGTTTTACTTGCTTGGAACGTCTGATTTTTCATAACAAAGGAAAGAACAACGAAAACTGTAAAAATTACGTCTAAATTTTTTAATACTAAATGGGAATGCTTATGAGGTGGTTACTACATAACATCCGCATTGCATCAGCTCTAAAGAAGGATGCGAATGCTCTTCAACTGATTACACTTCATCAGCTCGAGCCCATCTCTTCACTTCATGACTATTTAGATAAGTGCCTGCAATAAAAGAAATATCTTAGTTTGTTTTCACGAAAAACTCACACATCTCCCTGGATATCCGAGCTGTCGAATTTTTCTGGAATGTCGATGATCATTTTAACGGTGGCTACTACAAACTTCAGCATATGGAACCTTTCGACTACTTGACTGGAGGCTCGTCGCGTGTTGAGAAAGCGTAGACGCAGTTAAGTCAGCGGACGAGTCGCAGCTATGCTGATTACGTGACTACTTTGCTCCATGGAAAAGCTCACCGGCGGCGCGGACGCGTCCGCGTGTCGGTGACGTCACTACGGCGGCTAGAGAGCGAGCAAGGGCCAGTTTTGCCATCGTTGCTTCAATATATTGAGTACTTCTGGTATCTGTCGTGCTCTTACTGCACTGTGTGATAAGTAGAAGTGAGTAGGAATCGAACACGAAGAACACTCAGCTCGTTCAAGTTATTGACAGTGTATTCCTGAGGGTTTTCACATGAAGCCTCGACTTCTCATACATTTTCAAGAAGTTTCAAATTCTAGAGCAAATGGTACTTGAACACAATCATTTAGCTAGTGCCAGAAACCCAGCTTTATTCAAGTAAAGTAGTGAGGGCGCAAGCCACCTGCCCCCTCCTTCGAATCTGCCGCGGCTGTGCTCCCATTTTAACGTCATCGGCAAGCGCTCGCGTCCGTGTCGCCGGTGAGCTTTTCTCGCCCCCTGACTACTTGAACTCGCCCCTGTGTTCTCTGCGCGGGAGGCCAGAGTACATACGATTAGAGGACGGTACCTATGTAGCTCGGCTCCATATCTCATGCAGGAAGGTGAGAGCCTTGGGACTAAGCTTTGGAGGGACGAGGGACTCCGGCGTGGGTGAGCCAATCACACTGTGGTAAAGCTTTAATGCTCGGGATCACAGTAATTATAAGCCGCTGTTTAGACGAGAGAGCCCAGGCGAGAGCACCAGTTCGAGGCAGTTTAAAGGGCTGAGTTCAAGTTGTCCGCAGACCGGCTGTGCTATGTGGCACATACTATAGAGCATTCTATTTAATTTGACGCGAACTCCTACTGCACGTGGTGCGACTCGTCCGCTCATCCGTCTACGTCTCTGCCTTCACGCAGCGTGACGGGCCTCCTGTCAGGTACCACAAATTTTCTCCCCTTGTGTGAATTATGCTGATCAGAACAGAGAGCATGCTGGAATTGTCTGTTATCTTTCTCATAAAAATTCTCGTATAACTAAAAACAGCTTGGATACCCAACAAATTTAATTTTTTTTTGCTGTACTCCATACACGAGACTTGGATCATGCATGAAAATTATGAAACCAAAGTAATAGCCGCTAGAAGAGATTAATGGCATTAGGTCAAGGGCATTTTAGTGAAGCCACTGGACCTCACCTGGACCGTCCAGCCATCGTGATCACTGCCTTTATACACATTCAGGGGAACCAAAAATAAAGTTTCAATTTAACAAGCCTAGTCTTCTGGTGTTTTCCCCTTGGCACAATTGCGCGCTAATCTCTGACGTCCTCTGCCAAACAGTTTGTAGCTTATTTATCGAAAGCTTCAACAGACCGCCGCAAGAGAATTCGCGATCGGCTTAGCGCAACAGAAGTGAGGATCCCCTCTTTTAATCACCCGTCTGGAGGCAAGTGTACAATGGTTGTTAATACACGATTAGCCTCTTTTCAGCACCCGAAAACTGCCCACAAAACCTTCGAACAGCATGTTTGAGATTTTTCGGTAGGAAGTGAGGATGGTGGCCGTACAGCATGGCGCTTACCTATAGATCCCTTAGTCATGTTAAGGTCATCATAATTACCTGTAATTCTACTATATTTTTTCATTCTCCGTTACGTTAGACCTTCGCTGCTGTCTGGTTAGCTGACTGCAACCATGTCTGAACCTTGAATAGGTTTTGATTTTGTTACCCGCTGTTTTCCGTCACTGTTCTTCATGCGGACGTTACCACAAGGGTGCTGAGTTATGAGCTGAACTCATTCAGGTTTTATCCTTAGCTAAGCCTTCTTGTGGAGGGGTCACAAAAATGATCTGTTTTCGTTTTTTCTGTATTTGCTTTGTGAACACTTCCGGCCAGAAATGTGTATTGTTCCGCTAGGTCTGCGTTCAGAAACTTTCAGGTCACCAATTTTTCACTCTGTAGGGTATATACGGGTAAACTAAAAACTAAGATCCGTCTCACAAGAATGCTGGGTTGTGAACGAAAATTTCTCCCCAGACGGGAACGAATCCGCATGCTTACCCTGCGAGTGCTTTACAAGTTACGCTACCGAGGCACCACTTCGTCCTAGCTCAGCTCTTCATAGAACCCCGGTAGCGTAGATGGTTGACTTCCCACTAAGCAAAAGGCGCCGGTTCTAGTCTCGTTCAGCGAAAGTTTTGTTCACAACCCAGCATTCTTGTGAGGCATTCGCAAGGCGAACTGCGGCCAAACACACCTGTTACCAAACTAAAACAAGTCAAAATTAAAATGAGTCTATTTTTACTAGGAGTTACGGGGCAGTTACATGCCTGTCTATGCTATGCTAATTTCAGTAATTTCAGTTGTGCGCAAGGTTCAGAGAATTGAAGCATCCGCAACTGCCACCTACATTCCTTTCTTGTGTTGGTAAAGTTGCTTCTGCGAATGGGTTCGTAAACTAATACTTCGTTGAGTACCGCAACGTCATTGTCTTTTTTTATCTTTTAGTCTGATTACCTTCGAGCGTTTTTTGACGGCAGCGAAGCTTTCTCATCGAGATTCATTCGAAATCAATAACAACAGCCTCTATCGTGTTCAAAGCGAGGGACTTTTAAGTCAAAAGTAAGTTTCCTGTACAAAATGTACAGCAAGTGTATAAAACTACTTCGTCTGCACGAGCCATCTTACGATATGAAAAAAGAATAGAGGTTTAGTGGTTACAGCCGTAAGCCTAAAGGCACATTGCGCTGTTAATTCTTTGGAACTATTTTTCGTGTGAACAATTCAACAACAACAAGAGTTCCGTCACCTTGTGAAAAATGCTGAATTTGAACGACCCCTGCCTCTGGGATGGCATCCCCTGCACACCCTCCCCCCATCCTACATTTCATGATTTTCATGGTTCTATTGAATATGATTCATTTTGGAACAATCAGAAACTCCGCCCCAGTACTCGAAAAATTCATCGAGAGGGTAAAGCCACAACAGAAATCCTTTGAAGTTTTGGAATTTCCATTATGTGGGAAATTGAGCTAGCTGGCTCGGTAACTGTAGAGGACTCGAGAGTGCGCCAACAAGAACGCTGGGGTCCTGTCACTCGATTGTGAGTGGATGCAGCTATAGCACGCCCCGATCGGCGGGGTTTGTGCGTCTGTTATATTCCGTCGCCTATTTTCTCTCATTGGCGCGTTGTATTTTCCTATCGTAGTACTGTTTACCTCTCGAAGGAGGAGGATCTTAACTTTAGTGCTTTAGGTGGTATCCTTTGATTTTTCATCGATGGCGGTCCTACTGGCATCTCTACCTCATTATAACTAGAATAATCACAAATTGTGATCGCGACTGATATCCCCACGAACCCTAGCCGATCATGAGAGTGATCATGATGATCACGAGAGTAGCTATAATTCAGACATAATTGATTGATTGCCGTTTCTTGATGCTAGTTTACCCTACCCCATCCGCCGTCCCCCCCCCCCTCCTCCACTCGTTGGCCGTTCGTCCGTTTTGGAGGAAGAAGTGGGTGTATGGGTTGGTCTGCCGACTGGCTGGTCTCAGAATAAAATACTAGATAAACAATCATGATGGTGGTAGTCGGAGAAGGGAAGGGGGATCGTATCGGGAAAGCCTTCTAAGACTGGTGGTAGTGGTGGGTCGCATCGAGACCCCTAAAATAAGGGCGGGAGGCTCGCAAAATTTTTGAAGAACTATGAACGCGGCGGTTGACACTGTTTAACAGTAGTTATTCAAGTTGATGTGTGATACTTTCGAGTCATACTTCCCTTACTGCCCTTTTCTACTTTAGTGTAAGATGCTGTGACAGGTACATAATAGGAAAGAAACCGTATTTATTTGTACTAAAAGCGTTCGGCCATCTATACCGTACTACACAAAGTGGAATTAGTTCTGGTTTCATTTCTAGAGCCCAGATATGAAAAAATTCAAAGCTATACATGATTCAACGCTGTAGCCTTTGACGCCCAACGGCGGATATTTTCAGTTTTGCCACATGGTTGACTCATTGTGTACACATTGCCCGTAGACGGTGTGAAATCAGGACTTTCAACCATAGACGTTCTACCCTCTCTGAACGCTGTTCGGTTGTTCGCACGACTTTTACCAAGTCTCCGATTATTTTACCTTCTCCGAGTGCCGGTTATTTTCTGTGCTGTAGAAAATGACATTTTCGGATTTGAATCGCACAAATCAGTCATTTCTGAATAGTTGGGTTAATATTTCCTATGGCACAGTAAGGCGAAAGTAACGAACCAAAATAACCAACGGCTAGGACCCACGCTCGGTGTTGAACAATCCCTTCCAGGGTGCGCCATGCATTCTACTTCCATTCAGAGTATCCGTAGCATTTTGAATGTGATTCGACCTTTACAATGAGTTGCAGAGCAGCCGATATACAAGTCATTGCACCCTCTAACACATATCTAAGCAGTTGATCAATCCCGTTGATGGGCGACCTGGCTACCTCGGATGGCGTGACCCAGGACTTGTTCCGCGGACCATGCCCGCCGCTTCCACTAGACTATTTCGCCCCAATTAAGGTAGACATTAAGAACAACATTAAAAAGAGCTCTAAGGGCCGAGAATGTTTACATGTAGGCTCTTGAGCAATGGCATATCTTCCGAACCACCTTCCCCCGCCCTCCCCCTTCCCCTCCTTCCGAGCGCTCAGCTGACAAACTCTGCAGCAGTGCATTAAATTTGAAATGAACGCCTGATTACTGTAGCTTCAAATGTTTACATTCGAAAAATCAATATTTCAGCTTTGATAAACGAAGAATGCAAGGCCCAGCTATGGGAGTGAATGGGTTGGATCGGCGGTCTGCTATATTTGGCAGTCAACCAACGCTCAACGAAAGCAGATACTTTCGAGCTCATAGTGTCGAAGGGGTGAGTGCATATTCTTTTCAGAACTGTCAATTTTACAGAAATAAAAGAACAGAAGTAATGGAACTGGCTGCTGTAACGGTCCCTCTAACGCAGTCCTTCGCATACCTTGATCATATCTGGTTTTGAGTGACCTACAAAATTGGACAATTCTTGTAGTGGGAAAACGGTTGATAATCAGAAAAAAGTTTTGTCGCTTATATGCATACCCTTTCATACCATAATGGCTTATTCTATGCTGCCACGCGGTTTCTTCGAGAACGTAGCTTGAATCCTTTATTGTTCGCACCAAGGAGACAATCTGTAGGAATGGAAAACTCCGAAGCTATGGAATCGTAGCTCCTTATATACGATAACTGAATGGGCGGAGCAGAATTATGATTACATTCCTTTAGCTTGATCAGCCGAGAGATTAGCTTTTCTTCAAGTTACAATGAGTCATCAGAGGAAATCAATGAAATTTCTAAGAGATAGTACAATGGATTGGAATACAAAGTTACATAAAAACAATCTAACCACAATAAAATGATTATCATAGAGTCTTCTCTATACTCCCCGGCTAATTGTGCTTGCGGCGAGCCATGACTGCTTTGACGTGGAGTTTCCTTACGACTTCTTCGAGGTGACTCGTTGCTGCTTCGACGCGTCGTATCCGTGCGACTTCGTCGAGGCGATCCGCGGCTGCTTCGAGGTGGCGTACTCATGCGACTTCGTCGAGGCGATCCGCGACTGCTTCGAGATGGCGTGCTCATGCGACTTCGTCGAGGCGATCCGCGGCTACTTCGAGGTGGCGTACCCATGCGACTTCGTCGAGGCGATCCGCGGCTACTTCGAGGTGGCGTACCCATGCGGCTTCCTTGAGGCGATCCGAGGCTGCTTCGCGGTAGCGCCTTGGTCCATTCCGCCAGCATCAGCTTTAGATCTCTCACCTTCTGCTTCAATTTCATCTCTTCGTCAATGAGCTTGTACTTCTCCCTCTTGAGCGCATCGATCTTTGTTCTCCTTTCAGGTGAAGCCACCCTTGTGTTCTGTTCCTCTTCAATTTTATGCCTGATTGAGAAGATCGCATGTTCCACTTTTGTTAGTTCTTTCTGATTAGCACGTATCGCTTCACGAATTGACTTGTCGTCCTTGGGATTAACGTCTGCTGCAACTTGAGACGGTGCTGTGAACTGCGGCTCGTACTCTGGACTATCTTCGATTTTGAAAAAGTCCTCATCCTTCAATTTCTCCGGTGAGGCTTCTCTACCCATACGATCTTGGATGGCCTTCAACGTCGAGAGGATCTCCGGCAGGATCTCGATTTTCTGCTCCATGGCATTCAGCTTGGAGATGACCTCATCCTTGAACTCATCGAATTGGTGGTCGCGCTGACGAAGTTCCAGAAGAAGGGTTTGGTAGCTGATTTTCTGGATGTCAGATCTTGCGTTTCGGACTTCCTGATCGACTTCGTCTATTCTTATGACCATGGCCAGTTTCGCGGCTTCGACGGATTCGTGAACCTCTTTCGTGAAGTCTTCGGTCCCTGATTTGAGGCCTTTCAACGACTTGCGTAGCGCTTCTACCGTAACAGCCTTGACGTTAGCTTCGACGAATTCGTGGTGTGCCTGTAGGGTTCTTTCCATATTCGACGTCTTTTGCAGGAGTTCTTCGAGTTGCGCTTCACGACGTTCCATCGTTGACACGTCACTCTTCTTCAGCACCTCGATCTGTTTCTGTGTCTGTTGAAAGACAGCGGATCCTCGTTCGCAAAAATCTTTCCATAGATCGTACTGCGATGAGCCAGCTGCAGTCGTTTCTGATCGGCGACGCTTCACACACGGAGGCTGTCGTGGTCAACTTCTTGCTCAAACGTTTCCTCGAATCTTGATCTGTAGCCGATGTTTCTTCAGAGTCCTTCTTCTTCTGGCTTGCCTCTTCAACCACCGCCTTCCTCTGTTGCTTCAGCTGGGCTTCTGCGGACGTCTGATCGGAACTCATGCTGCGTAGCAAGAATAAGTTGCAATGCTCCCGCCTCTGCTTTTATACCGAGCACAGTCTTTGTTGTGAGATGGTAGGGGAGATAATGGTGAGAAGCCTCCAATCTGATGAACAAAAGGGCATCTTCGTGCAAATTTGAATTCGAATAGTCTGCATGGGAGGAAAGAAGAAATAGAGAAACTAACTACTCTTACATTAGGAAAAATAATTTGTATTGGTTACATTTGTTTTGTGTGGTGTTCTTGTGGTTCTCTTCCCATGAGGCCTTTGCACAATTTGACGATCTCTATTGCCATTCTTGCGATCAAATACAAGTAAAACCTTGCGGTTTTGATCAGAACTTTGGTGAGCACGGTTAGGATGGTAGTTCCGCAGGTCCATATGAAAAGATATCCGGCCGCTAGTGCCACAAGGAAACAAGCAGCTGCGAGAAAAACTGTTTTGTATCCGGAAATGATGGTGTCGAAAATGTGGCTGATGTCTGGAAAGTCTGTTTCGTCTGGAACAAAACTTTCTCCTTTCAATAACCGCCGGACAGGTACCTCTATGCTCTTTGTCCATTTGAGAGTACCAGTGATTTCAAAATATGTCGTCTTTGTGCCGCATGACGTGACGCATTCTAAGAACACTCTTGCCCTCGTTTGAGAGAAACGTAATTCCGATTTGCTCCCTTCACGCGAGCACGAGACTGAGAAATGATGATCTTGACAGTGTATCTCAGCTCGGGTTGGAGTTTCGTCACTG